CTACTCCCCCTCCTTCTCCTCCTGTTTGTCCATGTCGTGGGAGCAGCATTGCATGCGAGCGTTGCTCCGTCGATCTCCAGCTGACGTGGATGGTGTGGGCGAGATTGGACATCGGGATCTGGGGTTGGGAGTACATTAAGGCGCCAGTCCGTCCTACTTCCCTGCTTTCTTCCCACGTCCCGACCCCGCCATCGCTAGAAGCCTCGACAAGCGTCTTCCCGGCGTAGCTGCGCAGGGAGGGAGGGTCATGCGCGTCCGCCTCCCCAGCCAGCAACCTCGCAAAAGACCCCTCCCGCTCCTCCCGCCCCCGCCCCCTCCCCCGCCCCCCCGGCTCTCCCCTCAGCTCCGCTTCATTCACCGTCCCCCTACCAGCTTGATAGGCGGGGGTTCGATCGTCATAATTGCTGACCAGATTCCTTCTCTGCTCATACCCCCCCCCTCCTCCGCACCCTCCAGCTGATTCAGTATTGAGGTTACCCTCCTGGGCCTCCAGCCATTCCACCCTGCTGCACACTGCACTCCCTCCTCCTCCTCCTCCTCCTCCTCCTCCTTCTCCTCCTCCATTCGCTCCTATGTCTCCCAGCCTAGGACGCTGTGAGATCCCTTCAGCATCAGCTACTCCCCCCTCCATTGTTGTCCTCCCTCCCCTGTCCCTCTTGGTCCCCGCCTCCGCCATAGCGTCAAACCTCCTCCCTCTCCTCTTCCTCCCATCACTGCCAGCGCTGCCCCCTGTCCTTACTCTCTCACCGTACCCACTTCCCTTCATCGCCCCTACCTCCTCTGGGCATGCTTCTTTGCCGGTGGTGTTTTCCATCCGATCATCCCACTCCCCGCAAGCACCCCCATTTCCCCACCTACTCACACTGAGTCTCCCTCCCTCTCTCTCCGCGCAACAGTTAGTAGACCCCAGACTTAATTAATGCCATTGGCTGCCTGCATGCCCAATTGGCAGGCAGCAAAAGCACACTGCAGAATGCCGTACGGCAGGGGCGGCTTCGTTTTGTTTTGTTCGGGTTTTGAAAGGGCAGGCTTGTTTCACGCAACGACAGCTCTCCTGGAGCGAGGTCCCACTAGCAACGAGGGATTGGATGAACCTCCTGAATCTGGACGTGTTTTACGCAGAGATGCAGAAAAGCAGTTCAATCTCGATTTTATGCACCTTTCCACGAACACGTCCAGATTCGGGCGTTCGAACCTCGCCCCTGACTCACTGTTGGACGAAAGGCAGGGGGCCGTTTCCCGGATGTATAAACAAAGATTGTTGTTGTTGTTATAAAATTAAAAAAAAAAAAAAAAAAAAAAAAAAAAAAAAAAAAAAAAA